ACCCGGGACAAGTCAAAACGTCCCTTCTGCTAAAACCAAAGGAAAAAGAAGCATCRATTTCCCAGCAAAGTGTTTCAAGAGGCTGGATACGTTAGGCAGGGAACGAGCACCACGAGCACACAGAGCCARTTCCTGCTTTCCACACGGGCTGCACGGAGCGCTCCAAAGCCCATCAGCAAACACAGGCTTGTCCCGGTGGCTGYGAGCCACGAGGGCTCTCCCAAAGGAGCCACCTCTCTCCCTGCACCACGGCACGGCTGTCACACGGCCCGTTTATCCAGCAACAAAATTCCCAGCACGCAGCTCCCGGTGACTCTATCCTCCCTYGTCCAGCCAGGCCTCTGCTTGGGGCCCCTCCGCTCGGCTTCCCGGGCTGCCTGCCGGGCAATCCGCAATCCCACAGCTGCTCTCGGCATTTCCTACACAGGAGGGATCACAACAACAGGTTCCTGCGGGCGCAGCGGTTACCATCGACCATCTCCAAGGAGCTGGYTTCCTTAACCCCTCCCCTCCAGCTCAGAGGGTGGTGATAAATGGGGTCGAGTCCAGTTGGRGGCCYGTGGCCAGTGGTGTCCCCCAGGGTCAGTACTGGGCCCAGTGCTGTTCAACTTGTTYATCAATGACCTGGACGAGGGCACGGAATGCACCCTGAGCAAGTTTGCGGATGACACCAAGCTGGGTGGAGTGGCCGACACTCCGGAGGGCTGTGCTGCCATCCAGAGGGACCTGGACAGGCTGGAGAGTTGGGCAGAGAGGAACCTCATGAGGTTCAACAAGGACAAGTGCAGGGTCCTGCACCTGGGGAGGAATAACCCCAGGCATCAGTACAGATTAGGGGTGGACCTGCTGGAAAGCACCTCCACGGAGAGGGACCTGGGAGTCCTGGTTGACACCAAGTTAACCAGGAGTGAGCAGTGTGCCCTCGTGGCCAAGAAGGCCAATGGCATCCTGGCCTGCATCAGGAGGAGCGTTGCCAGCAGGTCAAGGGAGGTGATTCTGCCCCTCTCCTCAGCTCTGGTGAGGCCGCACCTGGAGTATTGTGTTCAGTTCTGGGCACCCCAGTATAGGAGGGACGTGGAGCTTCTGGAGAGGGTCCAGAGAAGGGCAACCAGGATGATTAAGGGAATGGAACATCTCTCGTATGAAGAGAGGCTGAGTGAGCTGGGCCTGTTTTCTCTGGAGAAGAGACGGCTCAGAGGGGATATGATTAATATGTATAAGTTCAGGAAGGGAGAATGCAGGGAGGAAGGGGACAGGCTGTTCTCACTGGTGGCCAGCGATAGGACGAGGGGTAATGGCCACAAACTGAAGCATAAGAAGTTCCGTCTCCAGGTGAGGAGGAACTTCTTTACTGTTAGGGTGACAGAGCAGTGGAACAGGCTGCCCAGGGAGGTTGTGGAGTCTCCTTCTCTGGAGGTCTTCAAAACCCACCTGGATGCCACCCTGTGCCACATGCTGTAGGTGTGCCTGCTTGAGCAGGAAGGTTGGACTAGATGATCTGTAGAGGTCCCTTCCAACCTTAAATATTCTGTGATTCTGTGATTCTAAACGCCGCCTGCGCCCAAGGGAAATGGGAAGCTCCTTGGACAAAAGCACTGGGAATTCTAACGAGTTGGAGAATATGAAAAGGAGCCTCCACATTTTACTGCTTTATAAGGAAAAAATGAAAGGCAGCCCTAGAAACCAGGAAGGGGTCAGGCCTGGGCTGCCTGGCTGAGCTCCGAGCCGAGCTCAAAGCTCTGATATTAACATGAAACGGCCGGGGCTGCTGTCATTCCCTGCTCCATTTACCCTCCTGGAGCCCAAAGAGCCGCTGGCAGCGCAAGCTGGGCCAAGAGGCAGCCCGAGGCACAACCTGGGCACGAGCCTGGCAAGAAACCAAGCAGCTCTCGCTGCARGAGGCTCTGGAAGCGGCAGGAAATCCCTGGATCCTGTTTCAGCTGCCGGGGATAATGCAGCACATGGGAGCGGTGTGGGAGAACAGGGTGGGAGAGCCCTCAGGATGCACAGAGGGATCTGCCACGACCGGGAGCGGCGAGACCGGGAGCGTCGGAGCCGACCCCTCCACGGGCTGCGCTTTGGAAATCCCGTTTTCCAACCTGTTCTCCCTGGTCAGCAGCCACAAATGTCTCTTAGTTTGTCCAGCCCATTTCCGTGGCCTTTCCCGTGTGCCCCTTCCCACCTCCCACAGCGACKCCGGAGAGCGGATTGGCAAGAGGCGCCTCCCCCTGCCCAGCAAACGTCATCCCAGAGGGACGCGGTGCCAGCCGCGCGGCTCCGCGGCAGCCCAGCAACTGCAGCAGCCCCGAGCGCTGCTGTAATGACGGGACAGCCCGTAATTCTCTTAACTACTAGGTGCTTTTGAAGAGCCCCAGTTATTATAGCAAGGGAACTTGCTAAATATATAGTTATTATAGCAAGGGAATACTCTGCGCCAGGGAAAAACAACTCAAGGGGAAAGGGGCTTGGGAAGGAACGAAACGAAGAGGAAAATAAGGAGCTTGATTCCCCTTTGCAGAGCTCTGAGCAATTGCAAAGGAGCTTTCAAAYGCACTTGTTTTCAGCTGCAGGCAGCACAGTTAAGGAGTTTATATCAAAAAGAATGTGGAAAAGGAGGAGTCGCTTGTTGTTTTTGAGTCTATCCAGAAAAGAAAGGATCTGCAGAAATAGTAATGTAACAAAAATTATTATTGGTAAGTTAAAATCCCTACTTTATGTTAGGTAATAAGAGCAAAACTCTTTTGCTAACACTATAAAAMCTGTGCTTGGGAGGGGAGGCCCCTCTTGTCCCCTAAAAAGAGGGGAAAAAATGACTTGAAAGAGAYATGTTAAATTGCATATGAAATACAGAGAAAAAGAGTTATACGGTATTTAAAAACGTTAAGCCAGAGCTGTGACTCGTGGCAATACTCGCCTTCACTCACACACACAAAACACCTCAGATCTTTTCACTAACGTTAACRAACGAGCACAGACTAAACGGCGTAAGGACGATCCACCCAGGGAGAGCCGTTTTATTCCATTAAAGCTCGGGAAGTGCCAACGAAKGGAGCTGCCAGAGGGCTGCAGAGCAGAAGCCGAACGCGGCTGCCGTGCGGGGCCGCGCGCCGAGGAGCCCGCGAAGGCTCCGCGCGGAGCCGGCCCGCGGCCGGCGCCTCTGGAGACGGTTCTGGGCGGATCCGGCTCCGTCATTCTCCTCGCCTCTCCTTAACCACCCAGCAAGTCGGTACCCGCTCCGCAGGAGTCGGAGCAGCCCCAGCCCTGGGAAACCCGGCGGATTTGGGGACCTGGAGCGAGGGGGGTGCGTGTGGTCCCCGCTGTGTGGGGAGAGGCTCCCCGTGCTCCCGCATCCCGACGCTCCCCGAGCGCCTCCCGCATCCCGGTGCTCCACGTGCGCCTCCCGCATCCCGACATTCCCCGAGCGCCTCCCGCATCCTGACGCTCCCCGAGTGCCTCCCGCATCCCGACGCTGCCCGTGTGCCTCCCGCATCCCGACGCTCCCGGTGCGCCTCCCGCATCCCGACGCTCCCCGTGTGCCTCCCGCATCCCGACGCTCCCGGTGCGCCTCCCGCATCCCGACGCTCCCGGTGCGCCTCCCGCATCCCGACGCTCCCCGTGTGCCTCCCGCATCCCGATGCTCCCCGTGCGCCTCCCGCATCCCGACGCTCCCGGTGCTGCTCCCGCATCCCGCCCCGGAGCCCCTCCCTGCCGGGGGAAGCCGCTGCAGCCCCCGGGCGGGCGCACGGGGCTCCCCCCGGGCCCCCCCGGCCGCTGCCCTCGCCGGGGGCTCCACGGGCCCCCCGGAGA